GTCACCACTACCCTGAAAGACACAGTACTGAGTGGCTGCAAGGCTTCAGTCTAGATCTTATTGACACCATCAGCGCCATTGCTGCCACTGTGCTGCTAGCTGCCAGAAAGCTGATTGGCACGTCAGGTCATCTTTTGTAGCCCATTTTTCATGTAGCAATCTGGCCCTTTCCCCTCTGAAAGCTGTGTTAGCCTGGGTTACATAATGCATTATTTTTTCTTCCACTCAAATCATATCCGATTCTGAAACTTCCTGGAGAAGTCCTTGCAGGGTTTTTTTTTTTGGCAAGATTCTCCAGAAGTGGTTTGCCAGTGACTGGTTTAAGGTCACCTAGCGGGCTTTGTACCTAAGATGGGACTAGAATTCATGGGCTCCCGGTTTCTAGCCTGATGCCTTAACTGCTACAGCAAACTGACTCATATCGCATTATACTGATTTGTAATTTATATAAGAATAAAAAGAATGAAAAAAGCACACTAAGAGGCACATTAAATGTTGCTCTTGACAGTTGAATTGAAAGTCTGTATGAATATTACAAATTTATCAAATTACCTGAAAGGATTAAAAAACAAATGATTTATCTTTAATTTTGAAGACTCTAGAGCATCATGCACTTAAAAGTAGACTCTGGAAAAAAAATCTTACAGATTCATTTATCTCTGCAAACAAAAAAGTAATTTATGGAATTAAAAACAAAAAAGTGATCACCATAACAAAACCTTAAACCACAAAGTTTGTGCAGCCTTATGCACCAACATTTCTGTTTCAAAGCAAGTAACCAGCACAGAAAGAGTTGATCTTCCGTCACCATAGTAACTGCAAATGGTCACTAAACAAAGCAGTCACTAAACAAGGCATTTTTGCAATGCATGTTTGAAAGCAACAATCACTTCAATATTCACTAATAAAACAAGTATTTTTATTATATTCATCTCTTTTATCCACAAGCTAATAGTATCTTCAAGTAATCTAAAGCAGATTTTATTCTGTAAATTTCTTTTTGTTTACATCAGATGGTCATTTCAGCATTCCAGAGGATTTCTCTATCCTCTAAGGACCTGACCCCCAAATACATTTCATATAGCTTACTGCAACTTATTTTGGAAAACATATGAAAATGAATGGTTTGGGGTAGAGAATTAACAAAGAGGCTGTTGTTTGATGAGAGCCACAAGAAGGATCAGAAGCTGAATGAATGCATATTTTAAACAAGCCTGAAGAAAACATAGTTGCTCCTTTTATTTGCCACATGTTTGTAATAGTCCCTCACACCCAGCACTGGAATTATTCCTATATGCAGTATTCTAATTATTTCACCTCTTTCCAAACGGCTTTTACTATTCTAAGCTTTTCTTCTGCATAGTTCTAAAGATGCTCGGTATGAATGTTTTCTGATTATAAGAAAGATATAACTTTACACCCATCCCCCACCGCTGCTGTGAAGGCAAAAAGAGACTTGTTAGATTCAGATGAGTTTAAACAGCACTGCCAGGGAATGAGACAACTTGCCACCGCCAACTCACTGCGGCCAGCTCACCACGAGAAAACTCAATGCGGGACAATTCAATAATTTAATTTAATTATCTAAAATAATATTTTAATTTTTGTCATTCACATTTCATTTTGTCCCTCCTTTAGCATCCTTTCTTTAATGATTCTGTTCTACAATTTCTTTGATACTTGTGTAACTCTTGTCCTGCAGCGAGGTGTCCTGTGGCAAGTTGGCCAGGGCGAGTTGCCCCGCGGAAAGTTGGCCACAAGTTGGCTGCAGCACATTGGCTGTGATGAGTTGGCTGCAGCAAGGTGGCTGTGGCAAGTTGTCCTAGTACAGGGGTAGGCAACCTTGGCTCTTTTATGACTCGTGGATTTCAACTCTCAGAATTCCTGAGCTGGCTCAGGAATTCTGAGAGTTGAAGTCCACGAGTCATAAAAGAGCCAAGGTTGCCTACCCCTGTCCTATATAAAGGAAATAGATTCTATCTAGTCTATTTTTGCCTTAGTCCTGCATTTGAAGCAGCCTCTTAAATTGAATCATAATAAAAATAGCTTCAAAACCTTAGCAATAAATATATTTAAATGAGGGAAGCTTGGTGGCATTTCTCTTCTGCTCCTTACATCTTTTGACTTTGTTCCCGACAAACCAACTGTTTCCCCTCCTCCCCTATTTTTTTTAATCTGCGCCTTTGAATCACTGTTGACTCCTAATAACTACCTAGACTAGTTCCTGCACACTAAACTACATTCTCTTCCCCTATTGCTGTATGGAGTAACAAGATAGTTTTCGATATCCCTTCAAGAGATTTGAATATGTTCAGCCCATGCTTGGTGCTGTCTATGTTCATTCAACTTGTATCAGTCCTAAGGTGCAATTTATTCTAGCTAGAAGATGACAGATTATATTAATGTAAATATATATTTACACAATGTACACATATCATAAAACATCAGAAAAACTTGCTTCTGAAAATAAAGATTAATATATTCCAACAAGAAACAACGATGTAATGATGTCATTATATTTCTACTACATTTAATGCCAAGCTAAGCCGCCATATTAGACTTTTCAAATTACTTAAGCAGGGAATACTTTTCTTAGATACTTTCATAATAATGAAATATTCCTTGAGCCCGAGTCAAAGCAATTATTTAAAGTTTACCACTACTCGTCAGTGGGCAAAAATAATGGGGATCATATAGTCTGTATTTTGCATGAAGTTCATGCTCAGTTTCAGCTAGACATTGAAATCATAATAGGAAGATGCAACCTTGTTGTTCAGTCACTATGTCATGTCTGACTCTTCTCAACCTCATGGACCACTGAACACCAGCCCCCCCCCATCCTCCACTGTCTCCTTGAGTCTGACCAAACTCATGCACAGTGTGTCAACAACAGTTTCCCCTAATAACTGATTTTCAAAATAATCTGATAAAGGCGCTATCAGGAATTAAAATAAATGCATTAGTTAATTTTGTTTTAGGTACAGAAATATTAACCCAAATCAGACAAATGGCAATTGGGTAAAGAATCTGTATAATGCTTAGATTTGCATTGTACAATGGAGTGGCAACCTCCAAAAATGTACTGTGCAGTGAATTACCAACAATGTAATCCTACACATATCTGGAAATATGTAGGCACTGTGGTAGCACAGTGGTTAGACTGCAGTATTGCTGACTGCCAGCAGTTCGATTCTCACTGGCTCAAGATTCCATCCTTTTGAGTCAGTAAACGAGGACCCAAATTGTTGGGGGCAAAATGCCGACTCTATAAACCGCTTAGAGAGGGCTGTAAAGTGCTGTTGCTATATAATGTTGAGTTCAATGGGAACTCTTAAACAAGCAGATAAAGAATTGTAGTCTACACCGAAATCAACAGATGGTCAACATAATTTCAGCTTTTTTACTGAAGGAAAAAACACATTGTCATAAATACTAGCCACTAAACTTTCCTTAGAAAATTCATATAACTATGCATATCTAGATCTGGAATGTTGTATTTTTAAACAAATTAAAATCATTTTTAAGTTCAAATTAATTGGATGGGGAACACTGTCATTTACAAAAAGAATTATAAACACATTTTTCTAATTAAATTACATTCTAGTAATTTCTATCAGTTTTTTTATTTCCACAAAATAAAGACTAAAATAAAGGTGTAAGTAATAAAAAGATCTATATTTTTAAATTTAAATATATTTTAAGTTCACATGCCTTAACAGTTTTTTTCCTTCTTGTAGTGTTACTTCTGTGAGAGTTGCATGATTTTAAGGACTATGCAGTTGTTTTAAATTTGTATTTCACAAGTTTGCCCAGCAATTATTATTTCACCTTGATTACTGAGTTGTACTGGTGATATTTACAGGCTCACTAATATATGATTAAGTGGTTTACTCAGCTCAAATTTCTGGGTTTGCACAACACACTAGGCTAAACCCTAGCCAACCTAGAGTGATATACTGCGTAGCTAGTATGTGCTTCATCAGCTGTCATACTTCTTGCTTTACTCAACTAACAATTAAGAGTAGCCACGTAGAATTCAGGTAACCTTAGAGAACACAAGGTGGCATTTGCCAGGATATCCTTGCCTCCAGGATAATGTTTTTCTTTCCTTACACAGGTGAAAAGAGCAATTTCTCCATTCTTTTAGATAGGGGAGGGGGAGCTGCAGGTCACAAAGCTGATGCTTTATGCCACCTGTGACACAAAAGCAAAAGAGATCTATTTTTTTTTTACAAAGGAAATTCCCCACGCCACTGTCAGATCACAACTGGCATCCCTCCTTGCAACTACATTATACAAAAAAACTAAAAAAAAAAGAGAGAGAGCGGGGGGGGGGCAGTTCAAGGTGACAATACCAGCGAGAAAATGTTTTTAGGCAGGATGCCAAACAAAACCAGTAACATTCACAGTTGCCCCCCCCCCAGACCATACGACTGTATAGATAGGAGAGATACAGAGTTTTATGTTACTTAAAAAAAAAGGAGATAAAAGATGTCCTTATCTTTGAGGCAGGCTGATTCTGAGAACTACACGGGTGGGGTGGGGGGCAGAAGTACGGTTTTCTTGCAAACAATTAAAAACGGCGTGCCTTAAGGTAAAGAAATGTTCCGTGCTGAATTGCAAAGCACGTTTTGCATTTGTGCATACACACAAATGTGTATGTGGTTGGCAGCACACTGTTAGCCGGAGCTGCAGCACTCCCACTTGGGAGGCGGGTATCCAGCTGCCATGCAGTCCACCACAGGCTTCTCCTCCAACTTGGGGCTTTCCGGATGTTGGGGACTACAAGCCTCATCCCCGAGTTGGAGGAAAACTTGCTCAGTCCCTTCTTCTCGTCGCCTTTCCGCTGTGCTCAAGAACGCCCATTTCCAGGATATTCCCCCCCATACACACACACACACATATACATACACGTCTTTGGGGGATCCCGGGACCCCTCGCCTCGCTGCTTTAAAGGCAGCTGGGAAGGGAAGCCCCAGGCGTCCCCTCTTGCCTCTCACCTGTCCTGAACATCAGCTGCTTGTCGTTGGGGTCTCCGAATTCCGACAGCAGGGACTTGAAGAGGATCCCGCACGAGTTCTGGATCCCGAAGACGGTCCCGTTGCACCACATGGAGGCCAGCATGACAAACCAGCCCCAGCCTCCTTCGGGCGGCTCGGCCGTCTCCTGCGCCTGCCCCTGCTCCGCCGCCTTCTCGGGAGGACCCTGCGCCGCCCCGAGCCCAGAAGGCACCAGGGGAACTTCTGCGGTCCCGGAGGCGAGCGAGGCTTCCTGCGGGCACCATTCTCCGTTCTCCTTTCTCGGCTCCTCCTCGCCCACCGCCTCACTTTCTCCCGGAGGGGAGGGCGCGGGGACGGCGCTCCCCTCTCCCACCTCCTCGCTGACGGGGGACATGCCCGCGAAGCCAAGCCAAGCGCCGCGCCGAGGCGGCCTGGGGCTACACAGCTTGGCGCCCCTGGCTCCTTAGCAATGCCGAGGCACTGCAAACATGCCCCGCGTCAAGAACGGAGGAGCCCGATCCAGAACTTGGGCGGGCGGGCGGACGCGAAAGAGAACGTTCCCCCCGCGCTCTTGTGACACCGCTCAAGCCCTCGGAGCTCAATTTGCATAGGTTTCCTTTAATCCGCCTGTCGCACGAGCGAGCGAGCCAGCCCTTAAGGCGGTTCCATTCCCGCGAGCCTCTTCCAGGTGGTTTCGAAGGAGCAGCCCACGAGGAGGCGTGGCCTTCGGAGCAGAGATGGTGCTCTGCTGCGCCCCGCCTTCTTCGGCCCCCTCAACGCTCCGAACGTCTTCATTGGCTAAAAGGGGGCGCGGAGGTTCCCGCCTTTCTCCCTGAGGCCGACGAAGTGGGCAAACCGGGACAAAGCGCAGAGCGCGCGCGTGGCTAAGGAAAGACGAGAGCGGGAGAAAGTGGGGGGGTGGTGGTGGTGGTGGTGAGGTTTTTATCCGGGCGCGCCGAGCAGCCCATCAGTCAGAGGAGATGACGACCACCCGAGGGAGGCGATTGGACGGGGTGGTGGGTGGGGTGGTGACAACGGCGATTGCTGCTGCTGCTGCTTCTCTGCTGCAGGAGCAGCATTGAAGCCCGCAGGCGAGAGGTCTGCTCGACCCCCGCGTTCTGCGACGGGTCTGTTTGTTTGTTTAGATTTGTATACCGCCCTATCTCCCTTACGGGACTCAGGGCGGTGAACAGGCGATAATAAAAATCACAATAAATATCTATTCTAAAATCAAATTAAATAAATAAAGGCCTGCTCTAAAATACCCCATATAAAACCTATACTAAAACCTAATTAAAACTACGCCAGGCTGGCCGCACGAAATAGATGAGTTTTCGGGGCTCGGCGAAAAAGGCGCAGGTCCGCAGTTGTACGTAGGTGGGGGGGGGCATAGGTCATTCCAGAGGGCAGGAGCTGCCACAGAGAAGGCTCTCCCCCTGGGGGTCACCAGTCGGCATTGACTGGCCGACGGCACCCTAAGGAGGCCCTCTCTGTGGGAGCGGACTGGTCGAAGGGAGGTATGTGGTAAGGAGGCGGTCTTGCAAATACCTAGGTCCATTGCCATGGAGCGCTTTAAAGGTTGTTACTAACACCTTGAAGCGCACCCGGAAGGTCGCGTGAGAAAGGAGATCTTTCCCCTGTACACACGACGACTGTCTCAGAGGCTGGGCTTTCTGCGTGCGTGTCTCTGATGTCAGCCACCTCCCCAAAGGTAGTGACAATTTATTGGCAGGGCTGTAGGGAAACAAAACTTTTGCCAAGGTACAGGGCAAAAGGGCAGGAGTTAAAGGTAGGGACGAGCAGAAAAGAAACACTTAAGTATTCCTAACTTAGTAGATGCACGCCTCATAAGTTGACCAAGATTGACCCAGGTAGATATGGTTCTTCTTTAACAAAGCAGCCATCAAAGTTATCAATCCAGAAGAGGATCCGTATATCGGCTTGTTATAAAGATGCTTTAAGTATCATATATTTAATTCTAATATAAAGCATTCTGGACCAGAGCCCAGGATTAATCATCAAAGGTCTATCAACATCACTTCAAATACGTCCAATGTTCAGGGTGAGCGTTATCACTAAAGTAAGAAAACAGCAGCAGGTGTTCTTTCAAGAGAGATATCTGGTAGCTATATAGGACATGGCAGCACAAATGTCAAGGCCTTGGGTGTCCCACCCACAAGCCAGAGTGACTCCAATTGTAATCTTTAGTATACAGAAGGTATTATGGTTTCAGTCCGAAAGAGCACAACACTGAAAAGAATCAAGCTTTATTGATCTTTAGGGGCATGGTTTCCAAGAAAGAGGGGCCTGAAAATTGGGAAGCCAGATTTTTGTAAAAAGGCCCATTGTAGCCACAGGATTCCCACCTTGTAGTTATTTTATAAGTTCTTTTCTAAACAACTTATAAAAGCACTACAAGGTGGGAATCCTGTGGCTAGACAAAATGGGCCTTCTGGAAGAGCAGCAGAGTTGGGGAATGTTGAAGTCCAGGCTGGTTGAGGATGGGAGGTTGGGGTTGCTCAGATGGTTACAATGTAGTTTAGATGGGATTGTCTGGGGAGGTGGGGAGAGTCAATAGTGGGCTGATAGGATTATGCAAAGAGAGGAGCTGGGTTTGATTTTGGCCGTGTCCAAAAAAACCTGGGGAGGAGGGGGGAAGGGTGCAGCCTCCGTTTCATTTCTTGGATTTATTTTCTCCACTATAAAAAATTTTAAATGCATTGGAGGTAATCTTACTAAGTCTTTTTTTAATAAAAAGGGAATTAGTTTTAGTCTTGATGCTTTCTGTCCAGCACAGATTTTGCATGTGTGACCCTTAGAACACCACTCAGTAGCCTTTTACATAGTGCTTGTTGAGCAACCCAAAGCTTCCAGAAGTGTAAGAAATATTTTAGCAGGGGAGGGGGGAAGCTTATTGCAGCTTGCAAAATGCTGAGCAGTAGTTCCTGTAACACTGACCCTTTTAGGGAGGGAGGGGCATGAAGAACATGTCTTTGTTTGGTGAGCACATTTGGGGCGGGCAACTCAATTATTAAGCAAAACTAAGTGAAATTGTGACTGGGCTTATGATCTTACTTCAACTTTCCTTGTAAATGTGAGGATTGATCATAAAGTTGTTTTTTCATAAATGTGGTAACTGTGAATAATCACTAAATGGGGCAGTTACTAAAAAAGTCTACCTGTAATCCTGATAAGGAATTACGGAGCCATTGTAGGAATACTCTAGGCATGTGATTAATACAATCACTCAGATCCATTTGGCTTCCGTGGGTCAGTTGCTATAGAGCTAATTGGTTTTGCCTTTGTACCTGGTACCTGGGGACAAAGGACAAGATCTTTTGGGGGTGTAAGTGCTGCCAGATCGCTGTTAGATATTTGTCCCTTCTAGTTGGTTAAAGCTGCCCAAATAATTGCCATTGGTTGTGTTCAGGTTGTGGTAAATTCATCTTTAAGTGAGGAGGTGTAACTACTTTCTTGAAAAAGTGGTATTGAGGAAAAAGTATATTTTCTTCAAAAAGTCATCTTAGGACCCAGCAGCATTAGGTGATTTTTCAACCTGTTTCCAAACTCCCTGCTTTGGGGAAGGTGATAGGGCTGCAACTCTAGAGGACCCTCAAAGGAATAGATTGTCTGAACTCTTTTCTGTCAGACTTTAGATTAGAATGTCTAAGATGATACCAATCACACTTTTGGAAGACTTCTGGTGGGACAGGGCAGGGTTGATGTGACTTGGCTGGTATTGCTTGATCTCTTTACAACTTTCAATATAAATTGATCATATCTTTCTGGATCACTTTTGGGGTTGGGGATAGAGAATATTATTCTATAGCAGTTGTTCTCTTCTCTGGTTTAATAGTTCCAAACCAGTTCTCTCTAGTTCCAGTTGGTTTGGTAGTGAGAATGTGATCAAGCACATAAGTCTGGCTTTTGATTTAAAAGATCAACTGCTCCCCAATACAACTCTACATGAGACTGCCCTTAAAGTCCACTTGGAATGCAGGCATGGAATGCACCAGTGAGTATGTCATTTCACTCTTAAAACATCACTATTTCACAAGCTGTGCTGGTTGACAGTTGACTTTTGGATGCAATTCAAGCTACTAATTGTCTCCCAGAAGGCTCTTCGTGGCTTCCTGGTTGCCTACTGGCTACCCCTCTCTGGATTTTTTTTCTGCTTTTCTCATAAGATCTGGCAGGGTTGTTTTGCTCCAGATCCCATTGGGAAAGCAGAGGACTCTTGCAGGACGTTGGAGGATCTTTCTATACCTAGATTTGTCCTATGGAACATCATTCTTCTGGAAGTCCATATGGCCCTGACCCTATCATCTTTTGGCGATCCCTTAAGACTTATAAGACCAGGCTTTTTAGTAGGCCCTGGGGCTGGGTGGTTTGGCTTCTGGCTAGTCAAAGAATGTTCCGTATTATTTTGTAAAGGGTTGTTATTTTCTATATCTATAACATGGAATGTGAAATTATTGTTTGTGATTATTTCCTTGTTTTTGTTGTTCTAATTTAGTCCTATTTGTAAGTCATCTAGAATTGTGACTGTGTTTAAATAAATTGTTGATGTATCTGTGTGTGTGCGTGTGTTCCTGTTCATGGACATAATGAAATGGAGATCCTGGACATTAGATTAAGATTTCCTAAGAAGTTATGTCTAAGGTAAACATTCATGTCTAATGTTTTTGCAGTTATTGCTAAATATCTTTTTGGTCTTGTCATTAATATTTGGTATATGACATAATGTAAATCATGTAATTTAATTATAAATTTAGAGAAGATTAAAAACAATAAAAATTAAGCTCTGAGAGATGGCAATGTACATACCTTTGGCCAATCGTATATATCAGTTGCATCCGTGTATGCAAATAGTTTTACATGTACTTTACATATTGTTTTTATGCTTTTAGTATGTTATTGTACACCACCCAAAATCATTCTGTGAGGGAGATGGGTAGTTCCTAAATATGATAAATAAATAAAAATATTTCATATATTCTACAATGTTATTTGTTGATTGTCAACTTTAAATTATTGTTCCAACTCTATATATGATTGGATATTTAAAAATCTCATAATTAGCAATTTTATTAATGTTTTTTCTTTAAATTTGTTTTAATGAAATATTTATATCTGATAGATGACTTGGCTGTATTTTCTTTTATAAGGTCAATAGATTAATGTGCTACAAAATAGTATTTATTTCTAGAATGTATATTATTTATTCATAAGCATTCCTGTGTTCTTGAAGTAGCATTGAAATTGCCCAGAATAAAAAAAAAAACAGTATAAGCAGGTGGAAAATGGCCTTCTATTCAGTCAATATAACTCTCAAATGAGCCCACAATAATAAAGAGAAAAAGTGAAGCATATTTTTTTTCTGACAGAACAACC